ACCGCTCTAAGTGTATTCACTAGGGCTGGGCTCGGTTTGGGTTGGTTCAATTTTGGGCTCAACCTAAAACCGAACCGTATGTTTCGGTTTGGCTATTTTAAAAATCGAAACTAAACCATAATTGATGAAAACCGACCACTTCGGTTAATCAGACTTGGTGGTTTGGTTTGGTTCGGTTTTGGTTTTTTGGTTTTTTTAGAGAGAGAGAGAAAGGAAATAAAAGCAATGGAGAGGAGAAGAAGAAAAAAAGAGAGAGAGAGAGATGGAGAAGAAGAAGAAGAATGAAAAAAGAAGAAGAGGGAGACGAGGAAAGGGCGTGAAGATATATATAAGAAGAATGAGAAAATAAAAATAGAGAGAGAGGGACTGATGAAGACAAAACAAATGGAGAGATTGAGAGAGAAGAAAAAGAAAAGATTGAAACTACGTATTATATATATATATTTCTTATAATAATATTACATATAATATTTTTTAATATCTTCGATTTGGTTTGGTTAAACCGTGGGTTTAAATATTACAAATCGTACACTGAACCATATATTTCGGTTTGGTTTGGGTTTAAACCGATGACAAAAAAATTGAAAAAAAACCAAACCAACCCAACTTGTCGATTTGGTTTGGCTGGGTTTCGGATCCAAATGCTCAACCCTAGTATTCACAGACCATGTAGACTGGGCCTTAACAAATATTCACTGATAATCTTAGACAAAGCATAAAGAAATGAGCAGATACGCGTTAGGTCAATTGGTCAGAGTAGTGAGTTTCTCTTTTTACACTAAGTTCAAATCTTCTTATCCATAAATTAATCAAAGTAGTTTAAATTATCATTTGTATGGAAGTAAAAAAAGTAAACATAAAAGAAAGAAAAAAGCATTACCAAACGAACCAGCCAACAAAATTCTAATGTTTTTCTCATATGAAATTTAACATTGATTGAGATAAGGGTTTTATTTATTTATTTATAGAAGTGATTGAGATAAAACAAATATGACATTAGGGACAGCTTGGGCCCTGTGAATGAAATCAGAGGCCATAAAAGACAAAGTAGAAACAATACACATTGTTATGGCCATGAAAGATAAGCTTGGGCCTCTTGCATTTGCAGAATAAAATAAAATAAATAAAAGAAGAGTGCTAACATCCTTCTCAAGCCATCTGTTTCTTTTATTTGTATGATGTTGACCGGCCTGGACCTGATACTATTTCACTCAGTCATCGACTATCATCCATCTCCACTTGTTATCTTAACTCAAGCATCAAAGCGAATAATATAATACCCAAAAGAAAGACAAGAAAACGCACATTTGAATAACAATGATTTTTCATTTTAGTACACATTTTGGATAAACTTCAATGTGACCAAAAAATTCCCTTACATAATTAAAACACATCTAAATATCAAAGAATTTTCTTTCTAACACACATTTGGGACAAACTTCAATTGCACGAGATACAGTTTCGTAGAATCTAACCCCTGTGAAATGTAAACTGGAAGGGTATTTCAAATTTGATTGAGATGAGATCAAGGAAAGATCACATAGGGACAGTACGGGCCTTGTACATGCAAATATAGGCCATATGCCAATCACCTGAAACAAGCAGCACCAAAAAATTGTTTAGCGTAACGCACAATTTTAGGGCCATTCAGAGAACCACATGGCAGCCCTGAGTAAAATTCATGCTATTATACACATTAAGAACTCTCGGCAATCTTACCTCCTCCAGAGAGTTTGGTGATGTCTTCCTCCCGCTGTGGGATGGGATTGTCATCATCATACTCGATCCATTTCCCTTGAACCAACAAAAGAAGTCCATGAGTTAAAAGGTTTGAATTAATCACATGCGAACAAAGTATAAGTTATTCCAGAGAACTGACCACTTTCTTGCTTGACCCAGGCAACATAATGGCCTGAGTCGGCACTACGACCCTTGTGTGTCAGCACAGCAACCAAATCATAAATTCCAGTCATGGCACCTGCAGCTAAAGGACAGCCACTTAGTGAAATAAGTGCAAACTAGGGATTCAAAGAACCCAAGCAGAACACAGCAAAAAATTCCACAGGTTGAGCTAAGAAGATTCATTAGCTTTTACCTTCATCGGGTGTAGGATTAGATGCTTCTCCACTTCCATTTGAGGATCCCTGTATGCAGA